CCTTTGCACAACAAATTGTAGAATTAACCACATTATAAAACGTTTTCGTGATGAGGATTTTCCATAATACCGGGACTATTCAGTTGGAAAAATTTGCTCCTATGTGATATGCAGGGTCATAATTATGGGCTTTTAGTGAAAACGATCAAAAAATTCCCAAAACCAAATTTGCAGTGCGAGCTGTTGGATGTGTGAATGAACATTAATAGAGTTAGGCTACAACATGATAGCGAACTTATTATGTTTAGGTTTTATTTCCCTTTATTTATGGTTTTGTTATGTGTAATCTTAAAAGCGTTTGATGTTTACGCCCGGCATTTTGAGTACTCGCCTGCATGCGATGTTTACGTTCGACTGAAAACAAACGGCGCAGCCATTAAAATTGCGAAAGAGACTACTAACAATCACAGGGTGTCCAGTTCCTATTTTTCCTATTATACATATTCCTATTTTCTCCTATTTTTATACTAAAACCTCCTATTTTTTCTTTTTTTTTACAACGTGGCCGGTGAAGCCAAAATTTCTAACAAAATTGAAAATGGAATTATAGTTGTATGTGTTCATAAAGCAAGTAATATGTTGACTTTGATGTTCTAATATTAGCAAAAATTAGTAGTAGTTAAATTTTTTTTGTAGCATGACTTCTATTGCCTCATTTATTAGAGTGCTCCTAACAACGTTGTTATATTGTTACTTTTTGTATAATTTTTTGGGTTTTTGAAAACTTGTTAGCCTAACATTTTCTCCAAGTTCATTTTTGTTGTTTGTAGCATTTGATATAACGCTTGGGAGACACATTTGTTTGACACAAAGCTGTAATTTTGTCATTTACGGTAATTTCTATGCTAACATTAAGTTCCATAGCAAATAAGGACGCTTAATTGGTATTATTACTCATTTAAAATATTTCCCCGATTCTGATTGGCTAAAAGCACACGCATAATTCACCATAACCAGTTACTGATGACCAAATTTGGAAGAATTTTGTAATTAACGAGGTAATGACGTCAAAAATGCAGCCTTCTACAGGTTAATGCACCGTTAACCGAGAAGAACTGGGGACGAGATTGAGTTGTTTTCGTTGTAAAAACTAAAATGGCGGACACTTCACCCGATTTAATTTTTTTTGTTAACCAGAGCTTCGCTTTTAGCCCTGGCTAAATCTATACATTAAGCTTAAATAGAAGACAAAGTAGTTCTGATAAAAAGGACAACTTAAGTTTACGTCTCGTTCTGTTTTTCTCCTTCCGCTGTTGTATTGCCTGCTCTCTACAGTTCTCTTCATCGACAGCAAAACAGACAAAACTATTCCACTCCAATTTCCGACATGTGTTTCCCTTTTTTTAAGAGAAAAACACTTCAAGAAAAACCTCTCTCATTGAACGTCTGCGAAGTGCGCTGCAAGCTGCAAGCGCCTATAAAAGGCGGAAGTTTTGGCGGGAAACTCGCACACCTCTGTTGCTTCTGATTGGACGTATCATTTTTCTCACACGTGAAAAAACGTATCATTTTTTTACGTGTAAAAACCATCGTTCGCTCCTCTGATTGGGTAGAACCATTTGCATATGAAAATTTACGACATAGCTTTTTGGTGAGTATTTCTCAGTATGCCACTACTAATTGTGCATGTTTTTATTATTTTAGCTATAGATTAAGAAGGACAAATCTGCTTTAATTTTTTTCTACATGGAGAAATATTCCAGTATAAAATTATAAATGGAAATATTATGGAATATAACTTTGGAATGGCAACTTTGAATCTGAGAGGAAAAGGACTATCCAGGGTACCTGATGCAGTCACTGAACTGAGTGAAGTGGAGAATCTTATACTTAATCACAATAATCTGACTGAGTTGCCAACAAGTATTCGAAAGGTGAACAGACTTGTATGGCTGCACTTGGATGGAAACAATCTTACTGAATTACCTCCTGAGATTGGTGACCTAAAGGAGCTTTGGGAGCTGACTGTGAAGAACATCATGTTGGTTGGTTTACCTACTAGTCTTTAAAGGCTGAACAGGCTTAAGTGGCTGTACTTGGGTGAAAACAAACTGACTGAATTACCTGCTGAGATTGGTGACCTAAAGGAGCTGAGGACGCTGAGTGTTAGTAACAACCAGTTGGTTGGTTTACCTACCAGTATTCAAAAGATGAACAGGCTTCGTGAGCTGCACTTGGATGGAAACAATCTTACTGAATTACCTGCTGAGATTGGTGACCTAAAGGAGCTGAGGAAGTTGAGTGTGAAGAACAACCAGTTGGTTTGTTTACCTACCAGTATTCAAATGCTGAACAAGCTTCAATCGCTGCACTTGGGTGAAAACAATCTTACTGAATTACCTGCTGAAATTGGTGACCTAAAGGAGCTGAGGAAGCTGAGTGTGAGTAACAATCAGTTGGTCGGTTTACCTACCAGTATTCGAAAGCTGAACAGGCTTGAATTGCTATACTTGGATGGAAACAAACTTACTGAATTACCTGCTGAGATTGGTGACCTAAAGGAGCTAATGGGGCTGACTGTGAGGAACAACCAGTTGGTTGGTGTACCTACCAGTATTCAAAAGCTGAACAGGCTTAAAGTGCTGGACTTGGGTAGAAACAATCTTTCTAAATTACCTGCTGAGATTGGTGACCAAAAGGAGCTGAGGATGCTGGGCGTGAGTGGTAATCCTTTAACTGTTGATGCAATAAGATGTGCTCTGAAGTTGGAGAGAAGAGGACTGTCCACTGATATTGCAGGTAAGTACAAATAAAAAATTAATGTTAAATCGAATCATTATTATATAAAAACTAAATAAATGGGTTACTTTGTAAAGAAACTGTGGCGTTGAATCGACTGGGGTCCATTTACGATTTGGATTTATCAGGTAAGTTAATACACTATGGATTGGCCACCGTATGGAGATAGAGAAGGTGTTCAAGGAATTGTGGGCGATGTGTGGTTTATATATACCAGGGCTTAAAGTTATGTTATTGGAGGGAACTTGGTACACTGTTTCATTAAAAACAAAAATCCATTTATACTTAAATGAAAAGTGTTCGTTGATTCTATGGGGATTAATAGTACCGTTTTAAAGGATATGGCTGCTTTCTGCGTCGAAAGAGAAAAAATTCGCAGATTGCCATGTTTTTGCAGGAATAATTAGCAATATCAAATTGGCTTACTGCTTGTTTCCATGTGTCTCTGTCATTTCTCTCAACATCTCGAAGATGTTTACAGAAACGATCAGCTAGTGTTTGGGCGGGCCGGACAATCCGCATGCCAGCGAGTCATGCGATTTGTGTGAGCCATGAGAAAAATCTAAAGTTTTATTAAATTGCAATTGCACGGAAAATGTTTTCTGGTTAGTTCTCTATGGGTATGTGAGGTTTTGCTGCCGGAATATTTGCAGAATTATTTAGTTTTGGTCGACTTTTATTGATTAGGACAAGAGCTAACTCATTCTCTCTTGATTGGGATTATGGGCTCATTTTTGGTTTGGTTTAAATACTTATTTACAATGGTTAGCTTTCACTTATTTTTTTCCGTATTACTGCTTTTTTGATTATAAGTATACATAATGAATGCAGCCTTATTGCATTTTTTTTTCACATGGCTCGCTTGCTTTTTACGTAGTATACAGGTGATGCAGTGTGACATTAGCGGATGTGCATGTGAAACCGTCAGTGGTCTTAAAACACCGTTCCGGTCGCAAGATTTTGTCTGCGTTGAGGATGAAAGGACAGGTCTTGCATCGTGAATGCGCGCAGTTGAAGGTTCTCCAGTGTATAGTTTTTGTCGTGTTGAAATGAAATTAGTGATGGTTGTGAAAATATTCTGTCAGTTGATTGTGTGGGTAAAAAGTGAGGGTGATTAGAATTCTCTCATTCCGTCCCGTTGAGGACTAGCACGGTGTTGCTCTTCGCTAATTGAGAAATTGAGATTGTGAGATTGAGTTTAGCTGGAAGTGAGAGGATGAATATGTGGTAACAGGAAACTGTAAGAATCAATAGGTCAGAATCATCGTCAGCGTTTTAGTTGGAAATGTTGTAAGATCCGATGACCATCATGGAACCTTCCAATGCGCACATGTATGGTGTGAAACATGTTCTTTCATCCACATCGCGAACAAAATTTAGGAACCAAAACGGTCTTTCACGTTTACTGACATTTTCTTATGAACATCCGCTAATGTCAGGCCGAAAATTAGGCGACCTTTTCAGCGAACATTTTCGAGATGTTAAAGGAAACGACAAAGACACATCAAAACCAGAAGCGCACCGTTTTCATCTCCCTAATCATTCCAGCCAAAAAATGGCTTTTCTATCTCACTACGGTGGACATTATCTACCCTGTAAATAAATATGTGTTGTATATGTTTTGATGTGCAGAATGTAAGAAAGTAGTGTATTTTTCACAGACTGGTATGAATTAAATATATAATTCTGTTCTTTAGTTTTTGACTTTGTTTTAAACTGTAAATCAGATATTTTAGATGAAAGAAGAAGGCATTACAAATCTTAATGCCGAGGTGAAATTTTTATCCTGTCACAATCGCGAGACAAAAGTATCTTATTTCACTTAAAATCCAAACCAAGAATAAAAATCATTTGAAATCCTTTAATCAAGACTCTACAAGTTATACTGGGTAATGTTGCTCACTAATTGTAATCACTAACAGATAAATGAAAGAAGCAGCAAAATTTGTTGTAATGCTTATAAAAATCATGCTTTTATTGCAAATAACATCGAGCAAGTTGGCTAAAGCTTTAACTTCATTACCCTAGTAAGTTTTCTTTAAATATATGTTTTTCAATGTCAGGGTAAGAGTTACTGGTTATCGGCAAACCTTGATTCCTCTTAGCAATGTTACTGTCGATAAAAATCCCCTGAAGGCTACAAAGTATTCTATTTAATGTGAAAAAAGCATGTAGATTTTTGGTTGTTTCTGCCCATACATGATATTGTGGGGTGTGAAACCTTGTCTCCATTTTACTACATGTAGATTCACAAATGACACATGATTAATTTTGTTCTAGCTCCAAAAGAAATAGAAGCACGAGGAGAAAGAGCGCAGCTTGTTTATCAACGTGCTCTTAGAGATGGAGCTGTTAATGTTCAGCGTTCTCGAATATTGTTTATTGGTCAGGATCGGGCAGGAAAAACAAGCTTGAAAAAATCTCTCCTTGGTCTACCCTTTGATCCTAAAGAAAATAGTACGGAAGGAATTGAAGTGGATCCGTCAATCTTTCAAGTAGATACCGACGAAGTTAAGAACTGGCAACCCATTGATAAGAGTGAGCGAGGGTTGTTAGGCTGTTCTAAAGATGTGGCGCAGATGGTGGTGGAAAAGCTTTTTTCTCCAGGTGGTCATATTTGGGTTCAGGAAGAGAAAGAAGGTGCAGAAATACACGACAGTGATCAGCTTGCAAATAAAAATGACAAGAATGGGACAACGACGGATGATACTGATGGTGAAACGAGAGAAGATTCATTTGGGAACCAGGTTTGTTTCCAGTTATAGGTGGCTCTCCTACCCTCACGAAACTTGGTTTCAAATAGGAACAGTCAAGTTAAGCCGTGGTCGGGCGGGGTTCGATCGAAACTGGATGGGTAACTTTATTTTGGCCGCCGGATGGAAAAAGAAGGTAGAAATCAAACAATTACCGGGGGTTCGCTGGGTTTAACGGCCGAAGTACGAAGCCGAAACCAGTATTTGATCCATCAGTGTGGAAAGTTGTCCTTGGTGTAACATGAGTTCCAAGGTCGATTTTTGAGAAGAAAGCAAGGTTTCGACTGTAAAAAGCCGAACTGAAAGGCACCTCCTACACGCATACTTAGCCGGCAGAAGCAAACTCGTCTGCTACGTGAGAAGCACTGAAAAATGTTCTGATCATTAAATGTCTCGATTATTGCTCTCGTTGTGAAGCTGATAGTCTAAGTTGCTTCAATTTTCTTTGTAAAGAAACTTCTGCCGTCGAAATTCATCGCTGATTGCATTTCTTGATGATCGATGTTATTACAGACCGCCACCAAGAGATACTAGACATATAAAATAAATGACCTGATTGGTGCCCGGGGCGTCTATTTAATTTTAGGGGTCCAAGCGTGGGCGTTTAAAAGAGAGATGCGTTTATTCTCAAAACTGTAACAAGCTCAACAAAACTTATTTGCTTTCGGCAAAAATATCAAGTAAGTTTTAATAAATATTTTTTGGCCGAATATCCACTCCATCAATTGATACGTCTAAGCCGTCTAGAGATCCTTAACGCTCAAATCCCAACATCATCTCAGAATCCTCGCTCAGGTTTATTGTATTAGGCCTTCGTTAGTCTATCCATACTTTGAACTTGACATTGAACAAGATGAAATACACAAAGCTTTGTTTATTATAAAAGCGAGAAACTGAACGGATTGAATGATTTTGCTCCTTTTTTTCTTATTTCTTATTTTGTAGTAATTCTCATAGGAAGCGTCTATTAGACAGGTGGCGTTTATTAGAGAGGGGCGTCTAAATCAATTTTATCAGCTTAGAGTGGGCGTTTATTAGATAAGAGGCGTTTTTTTGGAATTGGGCGTCTATGAGGTCATTTACGGTAGCCAACTTGTGTGGTAGCCAACTGCAATTGATTCTGCCTCGCTGTGTGATCCACGCGCGATCCGAATGTGGGCAAATTTTATTAACCTTCGCTACGCGATGAATAAAGTAGTAATGATATTAGATAACAGTACAGTCGAAAATGCTTTTGTTGCTCAATGTGAACGTATAAAATAATATTATTTGCCACATTCATTTAAGGCCCCGTTAACACCACTCGGAATATATTTGAAGCCGCATATTTATTATTATTATCGTTTTTTTACACGGATGGAGTTTCCGTCCACATGAAACCAATGAATCCGCTCAGCGAAAGCGCATCTTTTTGAAACTGCCCTCCCCAATTTTTTTTCTTATTTCGACATTTGCGGTTTATCACGGGAATAGCTTAGTTTATGCCTTCGCCGAGGTTTCTATCGAACAAATAAACACGCAAGACATTTTTTTTAATATTTTGTATGCACATTTTTGTCCTCACCAAGCATCAAACGGGTTTGTTCTGAATAGATGTGTGAGCGGGTTTGAATCTGTTTGGTTGATGCCCATCCCCCGAATGATAATGTCTTAATGTTTGAGTTGATCCATCCATTTTTTGGGTTAATAATTTACAGTCTTATCATGTTTCGTTAAAATTTCTTGTCCTGTTTTAGGTTTCTGATCCAAAAATAGATAGTGTCAGTGAAGTGACATCATCAGAGCCTGAACTTGAGTTAATGATTGATACTACTTCACCTCCAGATGAGATCACAAAGTGCGCTGAAGAGTTGATAAAGTATGTAAAAGGTAAAAAACGAGTTACCGAAAAATCTGTTAGTAGTATTGAACTGTGGGATTTTGCTGGACAACAGCTGTACTATGCATCTCATCCTGTATTTTTAACACCACGTGCAATATATATCTTGGTGTGCAACCTCAGCAAATCATTGCATAACACTGCCCAACCCTGTGTGAGACAAGGAAATCATAACTTCACGTTGGACAACCCAAACGGGGAAACAAATTTGGAGAATCTGCTCTCTTGGCTCTCCACCGTGCATAGCATCACACAGATGAGAGGAGAAACTTGTGAAGATGCAGGAGGAACGCTGCCTCATCTGCGCCCCCCGGTAATCATTGTGGGCACCCATGCTGATAAACCTTTTGAAGACATTGCAACAATGAAGACAAAAATACAGAAGGCAATTGCTGGTAAGGACTATGAAGGACATGTAGTGCGGCCTATCTTCTCCATTGACAACACTGCAAAATTAATTCAGAGGAGATTGGAAAAAGTTTTCCGAAAAGATAAAAACATTGATGGCATCCTAGAGCTAAAGGACAAAATCATGGAAGTGTTGAGGCAGGAGCCGTACACGAAGGAAAGGATACCTGTGAGGTAAATAAAGTGAATAATAGAACACAGATGTCTTTTGCCGAGAATTTCCATTTTAATTAGGGGTTGAGGTTTGGCAGCATTAAAACCATAATGGGCATACATATATACATATACACTGTAGGCCTTTGTCCAGTCCTTATAGCATTTTGCTTGCGCGCATGTCCAAAGAATCATAAGTTTTACCGGTAAATAGTTGGCTGTATAGAGATGCAAAATCCTCGTGTAAGATACCTGGAGGCTGCCTGTACATCGTAAGTCCTTCACTTAGGTTGAAGGGCAGTATAGAGACATTGTCAGTAATAGGAAAAAATAACACGTAAAACAAGCGAAAGATTATCGCAGAAAGATTACGTGCATCACTCAAAAAATGCGGTTTTAAACATAAGCCGATATCTCAAACGATTTTATACCTATAATTTTCATTTTCTTAAAGTTCGACCATTCTTTATTAAGGATGCCAAAAATCATAGAAATCGGTTAAATCATTCCTGCCGAAAAACGCGATTCAAAAACATGCAACGTGCATATAAATAGGTTCGGGCCCTCTTCATCCTAATTTGAATCCTGAAATACGATAAAACTCCAAAAATGTTTATGCTCGCCACTTTCGGTGGTTCGTTACTTTCGTGGAGCCAAAAGCGTGATATATAAATTTGTTAAGACAACATTCTAGTTCCAAAATGAATGGCGAAAATTCGTGAAAAAATAAAAATCGTCCTTCAAGTTTCTCGTCGCCGTCGTACCCTTTAGGCTAACGTTTGGCACAAAATTTTTGAAGGGTTCAATATTTGCGATTTTTCCAGCGATCTGCAAAAATAAGTTTCCGCAAATAATAATTACTGCAAACATTTTCCCCGCAAAAATTTACTCCAGGGTAAATATTCTCTAACTTCAATTCGCTACAGAAAAATACAGTACTAAGAAATCGTGTCTGTTCAATGATACCTTGTCTCTTTCATTCAGAAACAAAACGGTCTACAACTAAATACTGGTTTATTGTTTGAAAATATGTATTTCTATTGCTTGTACTCAATAAAAACGAAAATATCATCAATGCTGTGTACTGGGTACTTTCTGAAAATCCAAAAATTAATTGGCAGCAAGAACATCCAATCTGTCCTAATCGCAGAAATTAGTTCCCACAAAACACAAAAAATCACCAATCCGCAAAACTTTCGTGTTACACGGTATGTTTATACTATACCGGATACCTTTTCGTGCCGATACGAAAAGCTAGCTTATATAGTATGAACACCAATCGGATATGTGACTCTCGAAGAGATCGGCGCGGCGCAGCTTCGCTACATCACATTAACCGCGCCGAAATGACCGTTCACATGTGTTAACAGAAGCCCTGTCCAGTATGGATTTCGTGTCGGCGCAAAAACTATCCTCTGTGGTGTGAAAATAGCCTTAATTTCTTTCTTTGCACTAATGTCATAGAAACAAGCAATCTCTGTCTCTCTTCCTCTAGCCCACACACACCTTCAGGCGCTCCTGTGTTTGATCAGTTATACGGCAAGTCATCCTCATAGTATTTTATAGCCGTGTGGCTAGTACACAACCTCTGTTAAGATGCAAGCACATGTCTCACTGTAGTTGGATCTCGTTTCCCACCGTTTGTCTTTTTTCATCTTAACCACGACTGCGCGCGGTTAATAATCGTTAGAAGGTTAGGGAATGTAGCTGCAGACTTTATTCGTTCTTGCATCAGACTGCTAGTGCCGATCTTCCTTGGCACGTGAGCTAACTGTTCTTTTTCGGGGGAAGGTTGGGGTGAAGTGGGCTTGCTATTTTTGGAATTCCTTAAATTCAATTATTTTTTCGACGGTACTTTCGGAACTTATAAGTTGTTATATTTTGTGACGTTACATTCGGGTTCTGTTGCTCTCGAAATTTTACGGTTGGTAGCCACAATAAATTACTTGAGCCGTAATAACTAAATGGTGGCCACTTTGCACAGGACTGGTAGAATTTAGTTAGTTTCTGTGGTTATGTTTATCCTCTTGTTTTAGATTGCGTTCAAACTTCTGTACATAAATCGCTTCAAGTACACCGCCTGATAACACCAAAACTTGCATTCATCTTTTTATAAACTAGGTGGCTGAACTTTGAGAAGGTCCTCAGTGCTTTGCTTTCCAAGAAAGTTTACCATTTGAACTTGAGGGAACTTCAAACCTATGCAAGGGTCAACTGCTTTATTAATGACGAGGAAGAGTTCACTACCATGGTGGATTTCTATCATGACTTGGGGATAATTATCAAGCACTGCAGCACAGTCATTCTGAGCGCTGAGTGGTTAATAGACCTATTCAGGCAGCTCATCACTATTCCACCTTTTAATGAAACGGTAAGGTCCGAAATAAGTTCGTTACGTGTTTTCAAACGATTGCAGCAGCTTTCTCTTCTAGTTTATATATTTCTTTGGCACAAAAACAAAAAATATAAGACAGGTAGCAAAAGAGAAGTGGCGAGGAGACCTAAAAGAAACTATAAGAAACTTATGCGAGGTTAGGCCTCCTGGGACTTCGGGCTTCAGTAACTTAAGTCAATTCAAACAAATTATGGCGTATGTCTAAAGTGGAAAAATTAAAGTAACCTTTAGAATTTTCTTATAGGAAGAAAGGGATCGAGAGTTGATAACCTCGTTGTCAAGTAAATTAAAAAAACTTGGGTTCTTGAAAAAAGGAAAATTTCTTAGTGTTTGTTCGACAATGGGGTAGAAGGTATGCCTAAGAATTTCTAGTATTATTACATAAAACTTACATATAGCTTTATTACATATCACACACTTGGAAGAAATTGTTACAAGAGTGGAATTCATACTGTTTTAGGAAAAGTTGTTGTAACATGAATACCTTGGTATCAACGGCAAACAAAATATAAAATTTTAATAAACTGGAAGCATTGTTAATGTCGTTAAGAAAAAAGGTCCGAGGATAGAACCCTAAAGAACCCCACAAAAGATTTCGTTTCTTAATGAACGATGGTCATTAAATTCAACATATTGCATTCTGCTTGCTAAACAACTTCTTATTCAATCCAGCGCTAAACCACCAATACCGTGGATGTTCGAGTTTATAAAAGAATAATGGCATGATCTACGGCATCAACTGCTTTTTAAAGGTCAAGAAAAATACAGACAATGGCTTCTATTTTCTCAGAATCTTCTGAAAAACCTTTTAATCAATCGACATTTTATTTCTCAGGAACCCAAGGTTTCCAAACTGTGGCAGGAAGTTAAAAAAAGCGGTGTCCTCAGCATGGAACTACTTCATCATGTAATTTCTAAGTTTCTTCTGAAGGGCGTTGCGAAAGATGACATTCTGGACCTGATGGAACAATTTGGTTTGATTGCAAAGTTTTCACCATCTAAAACTGATGAAAAGTATTTTGTGCCATGCCAGCTCAGAATGCCACCTGATTCCATTTGTGCCATGGTACCCTCGTGCTCAGACCCTTGTCCTCTTTATGCTTACTTTGTTACTGGTTTTGTCCCTCATGGCCTGTTCACACGGCTTGTTTCTCGACTGGTCAGGTGGTGTTCTAAGGCTGGTCCAGCTCAGCCCCCTACCCTATATCAAAATGGAGCATGGTTCGTCATTGGGAGGAAAATTATCCATGATTTAGTTCTTATTTGTAAGAAGCAGTTCATAAAGTTTTTCGTCAAGCAAAAATCCCAACGTCAGAAGATTTCAGTGGAGGACACAAGTGAGGCAGCGGTGCAGGTGCGCGAGTTTGTGGAGGCAACTTTACAAACCTTGTCACATGATCTTCTGTATTTGCGTGGAGTGCAGTACGAGATTCGGGTGGCCTGCCCATACTGTCAGCTGGAAAAGTGCTCGGTCCATAATCAGATGGGTTGTACTCATGACGACTGTCTTCACCTCCTGGGGTTACGACAAGGTGACCCACTGATTTGCAAAAAGAAACCTTCAGAGGAAATACTCACAGTTAGGGGACAAGAAAAATGGTTCTCACAGATAACAAGTGAGGTAGGTAGTAATAAAATTCAGTCTCTAGCAATGCTTTTAGATTAGCGCTTTATGTATGTAAACTAAAAGAGAATCATGCTACATGGGAAGTTAGATACTCTCAAGTATTATGTTATTAAATGACTAGTTGTCTATCGATACTTAAAAAACTCCAACATGAACTCTCTGTAAGCGTATATACGTTATTAGATTGCAGAATAATGCATAGTGAGCTATAGTGTATGCCTTAATGTGGCCTATCACATATCTCTTTGTACTGTAGAAAAAAGAGGACAGTGGAAATGATTAGAAGAAATAAAGTAAATTTTTGTGAGTTGGTAAGGTCAATTTGTAACATATGAGGACTCAAATGCTAATACTTGAGGCTCTTAACTCTTAGCTGTGAAGAAGGGTGAGTCTTGAGACTTCAGCTTTTGAATCTTGCTACAGACGTCAATTGACCTTATCAACTCTGTTCAATAAATGTGTGTATCGTACGGTGCCTGCAGTATTCTTAATCTTGTGCATGGGTTGCTTTGCGTTCAAAACCTTGCATCATCATTGCCATATGGAACAAAAGGTAAGGGTTCTGGCCTGCTGGCACAAGAGTTGGTTTTTATGACCTCATTTTAAGTCTAGACCGGGTTTTTCCTCACAAGGTTTTGCTTAGAAGTTAATTTTTTGTGATCAGGTTGTACAAACGTTTGTTCAAAAGGTTAATGTTTGGCGCCCCGATGGAATTGTTATTCTTAAATGGCGTTTTTCCCCGTACAGGAAGTGTATACTCCATCACTTGATACTGCACAAAGTCATCCAGGGCGTTCAATCTTGAAAGTTGCTCTTCTGGCCAATGAATGGGGGTCATCTAAGGGTGGCTTGTCAACAATAAACAGAACACTTGCCATACATTTGGCAAAACACGCACACGTCGAAGTCACCATTCTTGTACCTGAATTTGAGTGTGACGAAGAAGACAAGAGAACTGCCAGAAGTTACAACATTGCCATTAAGGAAGTACAGCGTCGCCCTGCCGTCAGTGATCCTCTTGACTGGTTGAGCTTTCCACCAAAAGACCTTGACATTCAAGTTGTGATTGGTCATGGTGCAAAGGTCGGTAGACAAGCGCAATTTATCCGAGAGTCTCATTGTTGCAAGTGGATGCAGGTTGTGCACACTGAACCTGAAGAGCTGGCAATGCATAAGAACTATGCTAACGCCATTGCCAAAGGGGAAGGAAAGAACAGAGCTGAAGTTGAGTTGTGCCAAATTGCAGATCTCGTTGTGGCAGTTGGACCCAAGCTGAAGGAAGCGTTCTCGTCTAAACTGCGTTCATCTCATCGAGATGTCTTTCAATTAATACCAGGTTCCTTTGCAGAGTTTTCAGATACTAAACCTGCTACACAAGATAGTGTGAATTTCAAAGTGTTAACCTTTGGCCGTGGGGATTATGAGGACTTCAGTCTCAAAGGATATGACATTGCTGCTAAAGCCATTGTTGAGCTTCAGGATAGTTCTTACCGTCTGCTGTTTGTTGGTGCTCCTGATGGAAAGCAGGATGAAGTGGCAGAAATCTTACTTCAGACTGGCATTTCAAAGAACCAGCTGACTGTCAGATCATTTGTACAAAGCAAGGAAAGACTGAAAGAGTTGTTTTGCGAAGTCGATGTGGCCATCATGCCTTCAAGAACTGAAGGATTTGGGTTGACAGCACTGGAAGCGATGTCAGCTGGTCTTCCCATTCTGGTTAGTGGAAACTCCGGATTCGGAGAAACACTGCGTGGTCTTACTGAGGGCAAGTCAGCTGTGATCGATTCTGATGACCCCAAGGAATGGGCAAAGGCAATTGATGCTATCCGTCAAAAACCTAGGATACAACGGCTTGAGGAAATCCGAAGAGTGCGGGAAGTTTATGAAGAGAAGTTCAGTTGGAAACGACAGTGCCAGCTGCTTGTTGAAAAGATGTGGAAGATGGTTTATGGTAAGTAATCAAACTTATCTTGAATTAACTAATAAATTTTAATTAATAATTAAACTGTGTAGTGTGCAAATTCATACTGTTATGTTTGGACTGACTGGCCGGCACCAAATAGCAACACACCAGCTCACTTGAAATGTCATCTCAAGGTACATATATGGTGGTCGGTTGTTAGGTCAGTCACTTATTTGACGTTCTACGGCGTTACCATCGTTACATTACTCCTGTGTGGGTGTACGACTTGAGAGGTCTCCTGCTGTTACATCAAAAAGAAACAAGAAATAACTCGATTCACCTTAGGCAACCGATAGCAAGACAAAGTCATCACTGAGCTTGCGTTCCTCGTGGGTTAGGCACCTTACAGTTACACTTTCATCAAGGCATCATCAAACTGAAGTGGTCTAATATTCAAATACTTATTGTTCTGTGGATTTTGCCTATGAGAACATTTAAATATAAAGATTACATTATACATCTATTCATAACTCGGGAAAACTAATTTGTTGCCAAAACAGTTGGTATTAAATCGACGTCAAGACTTTTTGTTGCCTCGTCTATGTAGTGCCGTTAACATTGGCATGCTGTTAACTTTAAGTGCGTTTCCTTTTCCTATTACACCACACATTTGGTACAATAGGTTCGTGTTAGTGAAGTTAACTTCGGCTGTAAAAATCCGTTGGTTAAACAAGTAAAAAGTGTCCGTTATTATCGAATTAAATTGAGAGACACTGTCAGGGGTTTTCCTAGGGACAAAGGATACCGCCCATAATAATGAGGTGTCTGTAAAGTGGGTTTCGACTGTGATTCGTTACCTGTTTGAACAGTCCACGCGTTGCTCCAATGTCAAGTTTATTTTTATAGAAGAGTGACTTCATTTTTACTGTCTATTTTTGTAGAGGAGTGATATCATTTTTACCCTGATTTTTACTTTACACCAAAGTAATTGAAGGGAAATGATCCTTCCATGATATTGTTGTTGGATCAGAGAGGTGATAAGGTGGCTTGAAACCTGAGTGACAACCTCTGGTATTTGTAAGCACCACACCTCTTCACAGCGAATAATTTTGTACTTTTGTTATTTACAGGTGACTTTACATTCCACACACTTCTGCAAATCCAGTTATACGCACGCAGTGAGACCAGCCAAACTGAACTGTCACTGAATTTAAAGAGGACTGCTCAAGAGAAAGGCTTGGTGATTTCTGACAATCAAGGAGAGGGCAACTGCATGTTTTTTGCTCTTTCAGAGCAGCTTGATGTCGTAAAAGGAATGAGGATGTCCCATGAAGAGATACGGCAAACCGTGGTCCATTATCTTATGAACCACCCTACGCTGGTAAGTTAAATCTTAGCACTAACTTAGCTTTGTGAAAGGTTTTTTGCTAGCAAAACTAACTACGAGAGAACGACTGGAGAACTGACAATTTGACTAATATATAGATTTAGCCAGGGCTAAAAGCGAAGCTCCCATTAATAAATTTATATTTTAAATCAAACAATAAACTTGTAATCCACAAATCAGTTAACTTAAGGGCACATTCATGTGACTTTTGAGGGAAAGGATAAGTTATTTTAGAGTGAAACATCTTACATCGAGTTGATAGCCTAAATATATGTACACCCAAAAAATAGCAAACATCTTCTATCACATTCAAGAGCCATAATGGCTCTTGATCACAGTAGATTAGGCCTCGAAAACAAATTCTTGGAAAACAAATCAGGCCGCATTTTTTTGCGTTCGACAGGTTTACTTTACAAATCCTTGCCAACAAATCTGAGGGTGTGTAAACCAACCTTTTATACTTTTTATACATCACATCTGAGGTGAAACAGTACTTTTTATCATACAGACCTCGGACAGAATACGGCATTTCACAATTTTTCAATGTCCAGGACGATCAATCGTGGGCTTTTAGCGAAACCGTTCAAAAAATTTCCAAAATCACCCATACGGCCAGCCGGTTCTCATTTTTAGTGCGAGCTGTCAGTGTGGTCGAGTGTTTGAATGAACTTTAATGGAGATACGCTTCAACATAATAACGAATTTATTATCATTACTTTTTGTTATTTAATGGTTCCAGTCATAACGATGTGTAATCTTATAAAGCGTTTGATACGCGCGACATTTCTAAGTACTCCTGCAAGCGATGTTCATGAACGATGAAAACAAACACCACGGACAAGCGATTAAAATTGCAAGAGAGACTACTAACAATCAATAAAAGAAATATAATTCGGTAAAACATTTACAGAGACAACAATTTTCATTCACCAAGACAAGTATTAAAGTGTTTCTAAAAATCCTGAGTCTTTAAGCTTAAAGCTTAAGCTTAAGTTTATTTTGTTTTACTTTCAGCCGGCCTCCCGGTGTTTGTTTTGTTTTTCAAAGATGAACTCCTCGAAGCAAGAAAATCACTCAAAGTTTTCTTTCTACAGCCAAATTTATAACTAAATATTCTTCGGAACGTTTTTTTTCTATTTGTCGTAAAAAAAAAAATCTGAAGGCCTTTTAAAGTTCTGTAAGCTTATATCAAACCTGATACTAGATCAGATCATTGACTCAAATCTTAACAAACGTGCAAAAACTTGCCGCATAAACTGTGCTCGACTTCATGAAATTAGATATAACAAAAACAAACATCAAATACAATAATTACTCAGGCTTACCATTCGAGATTCAGTTCCTGAAAGATATCAAGGAAGGCCATAGTTGCTTGAGACTTTTAAACCCTCTTACGCATTGAGCAAGGTGAAAGACGAAAACGATGCCATCCGAAATCGGATTACCCAATTTTGACAAGCGACGCATTTCTCAACCAAAAACCCAATAAACAAACCAGCCATGGATAACAGAAGACTCTTGATAGCAGCTGTATTTCATTTTGTACATCCAGTGGAAAAAGACAGTTAAAAACATCACAAGTTGACACAAAACTCTGTCAGCTTTAGCTGTCAAAGTAAACAACTTTCAAGATGCTGCATAAATTTTCCGCATGAACTCACCTGTCAAATTTTGACCAATCAGAGTACAAAAATTGGACGTAGAGCGTGACCAACGCGTGACCATGGTAAGAAAAGGTCTTCCCCGCCTTTATTTTTAAAAAAGTGGCTGAATTTTCGCGTCCGAGGTCAGTTTGAAATCAAAATCTTGACAGTGCGGGGCCATAGTGACATAAACACAACATATTTCATATGAATCATTGGAAAAAATAGACTTGAGCCTGCGATCATTTGAAACTGGTAATTTGTCAGCGGATAACTTCAAAAAAGTACTCGACCTCGATGGGTCGACACTTGAGCCCGCGGTAAGGTCAGGTGATACTGGTCAGCGGATATCCTGTTTTGACAGCTGTCAATTGATCACAATATTGATGTGCAATTAGTTTTCTATTGGGCTCCCAAACTAGCTAGAAGGTGTGAGAGTAAACATTGGTTTCCCTGTGGTGCGGACGGACGGTCGGGCGTACGGTCACGTGATTACCAAATTTTCTCGGATGGGTAGATTACCACATTTCCTTAGTTATGGAGCTCCGCTAACAATAGACGACTGTTTAATTGTGACAATAGACGGAGCGAAACGCACCAATTACTGATTACGAGTCTTCTTAGCCAATGACATCACGGCCTAACTGACAGCCGACCAATAACATCGCGACGTAATTGACCAATCAGATCAATAACCAGAGTATAATACCATCAACTGACGTGATACAACTCACTTTGACTCTGAAGATGACTACCACACAGGTTGTCGAAACGTCAGTCACTGACGTTCACCCGGACGATCAAACTCAACCTTCTTTTAACTTAGCTTTGTTAACGATATTTTGAAACTTACATGAACACCATCAGGGGCACCCAACGTGAATTTTCGGAAAATATCTGTTCGGAATATGATTTGAGATCTAGAATTTTCGGAATATTTTTTGTAAAATTTCTTGCTTGCCTGCCTCTCCTGGGATTTTCAAACATCTAAAAAAAGGTCTAATTGTCCATTTTTAACGGATGTTTACCCTAAAAAGGTCACCTAGAGTTTTCAGGAGCTTTTTTTCTGGCTGAACTTTTCGAAAAGGTAAATTTTGATCCCTATAATTTTCGGATCACTAGACTTTCAGCTAGGAAATCCGAACAGATGGAAAATTTTTAGGGGATAAAAATATGCCCATATCTACCGTTTAATTACTAAAGTACGTTCAACAATGCTTAAGTAGTTTTGAACTATATTCTCGTTGGGTGCCCCTGCACCATGACATTGTGAGCCGATGTTGTGACTGTTTTAACTGCCCCCTCCCCGTTACAACGTTGATATGAGGTACTGTGATCAAAATGAAGTGTTGAAGTTTTATTGTCACAACATCGTCAGTAACACTTCTTTTGTTCTGGAGATGTAAACGCTTTTTCAACAACTCTCACAGTAAATATAATTGTACCCGTGCATCCTTAGTGAGAATTTTTTGTTTGTTTGATTCGCATAGTTATTTGTGAGAATTTTGTGAATTTTCGAACGATACTACTGTTCTGTATGACACGAGTAGAACAAAGGAACAATTTGACCCCAGACAGGATTCGATTGCGTGTCCCACAATATTGAATGATTTCTTATGCATCCTGTTTTATGAGAATGGAAAATGAATCTTCTCTCAGCCTCACCAATTTTCCACCAATTTGGACAGTTATTTGTAGAAATAAGCATTTGAATGTTCTAGTTTGGAATTGGTCTTGCCGTTCATCTGAGTACAGCGGAATTCAATTGGGCTTCCGTGCTTCATGAACTCCAGTAGAGGTCAAAGACTATATTGCAAAATGGTGGCAAATTAAGTCATTTCTTGTCTTCATGATATTTACCCCTCAATGCCTCGTTTCAAGGTACAATTTGGCGAAAATAGATCCAATTAACATAAAAAGTAAACTAATATATCGCCCGCATTTTGGAATAAGATGTATAGTTTGGTGACTGAACTGACACAAAATATTCTTTCCGGAAACAAAGTGGAAATAGACTCAGAGTCGA